TAATTAAATGCAAGATAAGATTTACCACATCACATTTTAAAAGTTACTTTTAAAATCATGTAGCATCTACATGTCTTTTACTATATGATGCCTTCTGCAAACTTTTCTCTTTTGGGATTTTAATTTCTGTGGTTTTTCCGTCCCCCATCTCTCATGCTTTTCAAATGTTAGGCTACTGTTTCCTTTAGCAGGCTTTTCACCTCTTGTAAAATTTATATAACATCCATAAAGCAAGAAGCATCAATAAATACCCACAGTAGGCAGGATTCTATGAATTCTGGCAGCGTGCAGAAATGTTTAGTTTCAGAAAGCAAGCCAGAGGATCCGAGCCTTGTAAAAACCCTCCTTTGAGAAGGACACAGAGGGCAAATGTTGCATAATTCTACTTAGGTGAGATTCCTAGAATCGGCGAATCCGCAGAGGTCAAGCAGAGGTCCCCTGGGCCGGGGAGAGGACGGGAATATTTTAATAGATGCAGGGTTTCTCTAGGACTGATGAACAGAACAGGATACTCCGTACTACAGAAAGCTACACCTAAAGATGGTACCTTTTATGTTACATATATTTTACCACTGTTTTTAAAACAACATTACCTGATATCAAAAAAATCCTATTGATTGCTTCCATTTAGCACTTTTAATATCTGAGCCTCATTTCTTACCATGGGGTAGGAAAAGTCCTTTGCCTTCCTAAGGGCAGGATTCCTCCTCTTTACTTCTCACTGCGGAGGCCCAGAGATTGTGATCTGAGGGCCCGAGCCCAGCCCTCTCTGTCCTTGAGGAACACACGGGTGTCACGTTGGAGCACGGAGAGCTCATCACACAGGTGCCTGAGCACAGCGTGAAGTGTTCTTGCCTGTGGAAATGGACTCAGAAGTAATAATTCCTTTTCTCCGTTTATTTTCATTGAGTGTTGTTGACCTATATAAGGGTTACAGCCGAGGAGGGAGTAGGGGGATTAGAAAGATTAGGCAGCCGCCACTCCTAAAAATATCAGAGTGATTTTTCCTTAATCACATAACTGTAACCTTCTGTCTACACAGCTCGAGCCCTCCCCAAGATAAAAGCAAGAGGACACAGTTTCCACCTTTTACTGCGCTTGACTATAAACACAGACAGACAGACAGACAACTATGTGTGCTCAGACTTCCTGAAATCTCTAACGTCTCTTAGCATTTGAAAAACCTTGTGATTATTGACTTCATACAAAATTGTAAACCTCCTCGTCATTAATTATTTTGTCTCCTGCCTGCCTTCGGAAGCTTACTTTAGGAGGTTCAGTGAGATACATAGAATATAGAAGACCAAGGAGAGAGGATGATTATTCAGAGGTGTTGGGTCAAAAATAAGGGTGGCTTTTGAGCGAGAGGACCCGGGGTGATGTCACATGGTCGGGATGTGGAGCTGCGCAGGGAGGTGTGGGCTGTGCTGGGAAGTGGGGTCCCCAGAGCCTCCTAGCCAAGGTGCTGGGCTCAGCTGCTACTGCTTCTGTCCTGCTTTCTCAGACACAGTTTTCCGTTTCGGGCTTGTCTGAGTACTCTGCTCAGAGGGTCCAGGGGAGCGAATTTCCCCTTAGCCTAGAAAGCCTGAGGGAGCTTCATTCTGTCTTCGTAGCTGTTTGGAAAGTTTAGAAACAGCCACCCTTGCAAGGCCTCACCCCCCGCTCTGTCTCCTGTCACCCTGTTGTAGGCTGGAGGTCTAATGGCAGTGCGGTCCCACCCTTGTTAATGATGTAGATTTTCTCCTTCCCTGAAACATTAGTATTATTTTTAATCCTGTCGTAAAAAAGATGGGGCTGGGGATTTAGTTCAGCGGCATAAGTGCCTGCCTTGCAAGCAGGCAGTCATGAGTTCGATCCCTGGTACCAGTAAAAACGAAAAAGAGGAAAAAAAAAAAAATTCCACCACAATGTTTTGACTTCAGTCTTATGCTGCAAATCTTCCTCCAAGTCTTCGGGCAGCTTCGGGTTTGTGGATGGAGCCTGTGGCGGGGAGGGAACCCCTGACCTCAGTGCCTCCTGCCAGCGTCATGCTCTGTGCAGAGCCTTTCTCTTCTTTGTCACCGCAGCGCGCTCAGCACCAGGTTTGACTTCCACATGTATGGTACATCCTTTAGTGATGCTGTTTCTAACAGCCAGAAGGTTTTGTTCTCCAGTTGTTGGTTTGTTTTTGATAGACTGTCCTTGTTCTAAGTCTGTGATGCCTCTGACCTCATGAAGGACACCAGTGTGGGTTTCGTTTCCTTTAATTCTGTTTTCTGATTGTGTTTCCATCCACCTGCTCTTTGGTAACTGGTTTGTTCCCATGGTTTTCTCTCACACTGTCGTTCGCCTTCAGCTGCCCTCAGCTTTTGCTTGGGTCCTTGATGAACCTCAGTCAGCAGAGCAGATGCCACTCGCATCTCTGGGGTCACTGTTGTGGGTATCCTGAGCCCTCGGTGTACCTGTCCTGCTTATAGCTCCCTGCACCAAGCTGAAAGCTTTCTGGGGAGCCAGATGGTCATGCACAGCAGTTTCCACCACTCTCGAGGTCAGAAGTTGCACCATAGCTGTTGGATTGATTGTATGATTTTTCATCATTGTGTATTAGTTACTCTTCCTCTTATGCTTGGGTATTTATTTGGCTTATTCAGCTTGTCCTTAAATAACATATTATGAAGAACGTATTTGGACATAAAATGTTTGCATGCGTCACTGATACTTTTCATAATGTTCATTCCTAGAGTGAAATTGATGGGTCATGAAAGGCATTGATAGCTATTGCCAGACTGTCTTTAGGAAGATTGTAATGAGTCTCAGTCTCACATAAAAATATCCTTTACCCTCACATTTTTGCTAGCAGTGGATAATACTATTCATTTGACATGTTCTGGCTGGCTTGAACCGTCAAGGGTATACATGTGACACTCCCTTTAGATGGCTGGCACCACTGGTTGTACAAATACATGCATGGGACAGTCATACAAGCCATGAGTGATGGCCCTGTCATGACTGTGTTAATGTTTGCTGACTGACGTACGTAGTCCCTGCTGTTTGGATGTTAATATTCAATCTTCACAGGTTTTCTGTGCAGACTAACTCTTGTCTTTCCTGTTTTCTTGCGGGTAGTTATCACTGTTTTTGCTCTTTAGGACTCTATTTTGAGAATATTAATTAACCCGCTCATATATGTTGCAAATTGTTTCCCAGTTTGTAGCTTGCTTGTAACTTTGACATGATGTGTTTTTTTTTTTTTTTTTTGGTCAAACACATGTATTGGTGTCATGTACATAAAGCCCCCCCATTCACCTGTCCAGAGGTTAAGTTTCATCCAATCAGCTTGGTGAGTTTGTGGTTTCTATTCTTACATTATACTTGTAAATCTATATAATGGTTCTGGAGCATGATTTGGTAGGGACATGGCTTTGTTTTTTCCTGAGTAACAAACCAGTTCATCTCTTTTAAAACTGACTGATCATCCATCTCTTCTTTGCTGTTAGGCTCTCAGTATATGCTGAGCATTATTTGTATGCATCTGTACAGGAGCGTATGTGACTGCTGAAAATAACACCCAGGAATTCTAGGAATCTTGGTGATTTCCTAACTACACTGCTCTAGGAAACACTTCAGTAGATACAAGTAAACTTCGGGATTAAAATCTCATCCAGTACTTGCTTGTTATCCTAATTCTTGGGAATCAAAAGATCTCCAAATAGTTGTTGCCCAGAGCACTTTTATACCAGCCGGTCCTCGTTCCTGTCTTGGCCCTCGCACAGCCCACCAGGAGTGAGGCGAGCAGTGGGAGATGGGAGTCAGAACCGTTCAGGAGGAGAGCAGTGCCAGAGACGGGAGAGCTGCTTGTTTTGCAGTGGGGAGAAATACCAGTTAGCCCTGAAAACTTAGGCAGCTAGCAGTATTTTGAAGTTAGAAAGGTGGTGGCCTTGAAGTTAGTGGCCTCTGGGTACCGTGCTGTATGTTGATTTTAAAATAGATGAGCTTGGTGGCTCTTCCTGTTAGCCTAATGCCACATTGCTGGAGCAGCCTGGCTGCAGACCTGGCACTTTGCCTCCAGACCCTGGCCCAGTGGGCCTCCGTTCCTCGGTGCACCACTCCAGAGGTGAGGGCATTGTGGTGCTGGAGCAGGAGTGCGAGCTGTGCGTTCTGCTGTGTGCTGTCGAGATAGAGGGACTCGGTTGCATTCCCAGCGTTTTCATCAGGCACTGGGGGTCAGACGCTGCACTGTGGGGTTTGCAGTCCCTTGCACGACCCTGAGTGAGCGTCCCCTAATTTGCAGAGGCATGCTTTGTGCTGGGTAGGTGTTTTCCCTAGTGCGTGTGTAAACCATTACTGCCTCCAGCGCTCAAGATGTTTCAGGGAGCTATAGTAAGCCGTGTCCCACACCTTCCCTAGAGAACGCATGGTGTGGGCTGGTGGGAAGGAGCCGCTGGGTCTGGGGCACCCACTTCAGGGCTTCTCCTAGGACTGTGCTCAGCCTGGGACCTCACTTAGCTGCTGTCCACCATGACTGAATGTCCAGCTTTAGCAGAAAGCGTTACTATATGCAGGAAGTTGTTCTGTGTGTGGGACTTGCACTCCTGGTGACACTATGGAGTTTTGTTAAGAAAACACCAGAAAGAGACCCTTAATTTTACAAGATTCTACTGCTCATGGAGTTTCAGAATAGCAGCCCAGAAAAGCATTGTTTCGGCCTGGAACCCCTAAGACTTCGGTTTGGAATCATTGGCCAGAAGAAAGCACAGTGGGGCTCTAATTTCCCAACTGTCCTAGACTTCTGGCAAGTGCCTGTCTTGAAATTCTATTGCGATTGTTTCTACCAGGGGCAGTTTAAGCCTGGGCAGGCGTAACACCCAGTGTGTGTTTGCATTTACATATTATAATTTCAGCAGGCATCGACTTGGCCCATAGAACAACTGTATGTATCAGTAGTGATCTCTGTGTTGATTGTTCATAAAGTAAGCATTGGCCTTGGCAGAGGAAGTCAGGGCATATCTCCTTCCCTGCAGGATGGGCGCCGCAGACAATATCTATACAGGGCGGAGCACCTTCATGGAAGAGCTGACAGACACCTCAGAGATCATCCGCAAAGCCACCGCGCGCTCCCTGGTGATCCTGGACGAGCTGGGCAGGGGGACGAGCACACATGATGGGATCGCCATTGCCTATGCCACGCTGGAGTACTTCATCAGAGACGTGAGTGACCACAGCCCCTTTTAACATACCCCTTTTGTCTGCCGTGATCTCTAAGTGACAAATGACAGTCGCGTTCCTTGTGGGGTGCAATGCCCTGTGCTGGGAGATGTCAGCCACGGGAGCAATGAAGCTGAGCTAACTCATGTCCTCTCCCTGGCTTGTGTTGAGCCATAAGGCTCTAAGCTTAGTTTCATGTCAGCATTTGGAAGTGTCCCCTGCATCGTCACTCATGGTCAGAGCCCCCTCCAGATGCCTGTGTGCCCTTCTCACCTGGCTCACAGGGCTCAGTATTCACTCAGCATGTGCTACACGGTGACACACAGGTTTAGTGCACCACGTGTGTGACAGCAGCCCTTGAGATCACAGGACCACCACGGCCTACAGTGGTGTGACCGGGGTGTTATGTGCAGCCTGCGGGGCACACACGCTGTCCACTTTCTCGAGGATGACCCTGACAGCCTGACCTCTGCTGCACTTGAGCCTTGACTGAGGGCCCCCAGCCCGGCACTCGTCCAGCACACCAATTCACACCCGCAGGTGGGCCGTTGTGCCCCCTTTGAGCTGGGGACTTAGAAGCTCTGTGAGCACCGGCTTTGGGTGTGGAGAGTGGTGACTTGGTTTCTCCTGTGAAACAAATACTTGCTGTTTTCCTTTTTAAAATACTGTTTATTTGCAGAAAGATGCAATGAGAGAGCTGTTTTTAATCACCACAGACACTTTCTCATGGACCACCAGCACAGCCCTGCATAGCCCCTGCGTGCCTATGAAGTCCTGAGTTGGGAGCTGGGCGGATGTCCCCATCCCGGTGTGGGGGTGCGTCAGCCAGGCAGGATGCACACCTCAGTCCCCACAATCTGAGAGGCTGAGGCAGGAAGGTGACTCGTGTGCACCCAGCCTGGGCAGCTGGGCAGCTCAACAAAACACTTCTCAGGATTGACCCAGGGCTGGAGTGGAGCTCAGGGTGGGTATCGGACTCAGTCCTCAGGACTGCATGTGCGTGTTCACACACACGCTCACCAAGTGTGTCAGTTACCGTGATTGCACAGTGAGTCACCCCAGAGCTGCACGGCATAGACGACAGCCATCCTTGTGCCATCTCAGTGTGGCTGGAAGTACTCAGGTGAGGCTCTGCTGGGGGGTCCTGGCTGGGCCCCCTCCCCGCCTCTGCATCCCCAGAAGGAGATGGCGCCCCAGTGGCCCCTAGGCTGCCTCCCAGGTGGTCTGTGGTGTCCAGAAAGCTCATTCCATAACCTTCTGCACAGCAACAGGGAAATCGAATGTGTTGCTTCTGTTTTTATTGCCTCTGCTCTGAGGCAGGTTTTGAATATTTTAAGTGTTACTTTCACGTGGAATTGACCTTGGGACAAAGTGTGAGGCGTCCCAGGAGTAAGGAACCTAGGCTTCCAACCGCAGCAGCCTTGTGTTCTGAGATCAGCTGGCTCTGAGCCTGTGGATCAGTTTCTTGGGCCCTTTATTATGAATCAGCCTGTGAGCCCAGGTTCTTTTTTTTTTTTTTTTTTTAAACTAATCATGGTTTTTTATCTGGTGGTACTAAGTGCTAAACTCAGGACTTTCACACTGAGCTACATCCTCTGTTTCATTTCATGTTTTATTTGGAAATAGAGTCCTACTGAATCACCAAGTTGACTGGGTCTGACCTTGAGATGCTCCTGCCTCAGACTCCCAGAGTACTCCCCAAGCCCCAGCAATGCTTATACAGTCAGGATCCCTATAGCTCTATAGTGACTGTTGGATTTGGGTAGTGAGAGTCCCCCAACTTCATCCTCCGGAGTTAGGTGGCTGTTCTGGCTCCTCCGCCCTCCATGCAGACTTTAGATGGGTTCACGGATCCCTTGCTGGGCTTAGCTGTGGTGCTGTGGTGAAACTAGGTCCTGGTGGGAAGACTGCCGCCTGGCTGTCCCAGAGTCTTCTCTCTGGGAACACAATGCGCCTATGTTACTCTGCCCTTTACTCCCTACCCTCAGAGTTAGACAGCTTTGTCGTGTAAATCTTTGCACGTTTTATTCGATTTGTACCTAAGCATTTCATTTTGGATGTGCTCCGATAATTGGTATTAGTGTACAGGAGAGCAGTGCCTTCCCTGTGTTGTCTTGCATCCTGGAGCCTTGCTGTGGGCACTTACAATGTTACCATCATAGGACACAGGATAGCAAAGTGAAGCTGCTGTACCAGGACAGCTGCATAACTGGACCAGCGAAGACGCTGTCAGTCAGAATAATCTTCCTCCAGTTACACAGGCGCTGCTTTTGTTCTGGGAAGAGAGAATCTCCAGTGCATCAGGGTACAGCCTGCAACTGATCTCAGGCAGTGCAGGAGAAATGTGCGTCTGTGTGTGTGCACATGTGTGTGTGTTTGTGCACACGTGTGTGTGTAAACAGGGGGGAAGGGAGTAACAGTTTTGACCACTGCATTTGCTGTCTGGGTAAAGCCATGTGGCACTCCCTGTAGTTTTCCTGCAGCTTTTTTTTCTTTTATTACTGATGGTCTATAAAGCCCGCGACCTCCAGGAGGAACTGGCTGATTCAGAGGACGCAGGGTGAGGGACAGCAGCTGAGGGGAAGGAACAGCTCGGTGCTTGTGTTGTTCCCTTGGCTTTGCAGGCCTGGGGCTGGGGGGCTGGGCCTCTACCTGGAGGATGGGGTGTGCACCGTGTCAGTGTGGGGTTTCCTTCTGTCTTGCTTTTGAAATCCGATGTTTTGTTCTGTTTTCCTGTTTTGTTTTATTCCCATGTCTGGTAACCTGAGCAGCTATTTTGAAGATAACAGTATACAGTATCACAACCACTGTTAAATTCCTGTCATCTTGTTTTGAAAACCTAAAAATAAAAAGCCTAAGTGCTTTTTCCTTGCAACTCTTATGAAGGGCAGAAATGCTTTCGCCTGGAAAACTGAAGCTTCACTTTAACGTTTACAAGTGAAACACCGCCTGCTGTACATCTCGTTGCTGTAGGTGAAAGCCCTGACCCTGTTCGTCACCCACTACCCCCCAGTGTGCGAGCTGGAGCGGAGCTACCCGGGCCAGGTGGGGAATCACCACATGGGCTTCCTGGTAACCGAGGCCGAAGGCGAGACAGACCCAGGTAGGCTGCCTGCTGGCTGTGTCTGCACTATCACAACAGAGTCTACCCTGCCCCCTTTCTAACGGGCCACCCTCCTCCTTCCAATTGGGCCAAGCTATCCTCTGCTTACCGCGAGTCTTACTGGGGGATGGGCTTTAACTTCTGTTCAGAGGCTACTGACTACCGCATTGTTGCCTGCGGGGCAGACTGAGCCCAGAGCCCAGCCTCTGCTTCTGGGTGCTCTGGCCCAGCTCGGGGAACTGCAGTGTCCCTGGCCCTGCCTGATGCTGCTGTGTCCAGAAATGAGCCAGCTTTGAACCCTGCTGTCTGCCAGTGTGACCGCAGGCAAACACTGCTTGGGCTCACAGTGGTGACACTGGACAGTCACAGGATGGGAGCCTCAGGGACCTGGCCTTGGCGCCTCCTCTGCAGGCCCCTGGTTCAGAGTCTGCCCATGGGCTCACCCGCGGCCTGTGACACCCATACTGGCAAGGTCTTGTGCAGGTTCTGGATGTCCTGTCCTGTCCTGAACACAGCCCTGAGAAGGACACCCAAGGGGCGGCAGTATCAGTGACTCATCTGAGAGAGAAAGGACAGGATCTGAGCTGCAAGGCAGCTGGCCAGGGAAGAGCCCCTGGCCCAGAGGGCTGGTGCCAGGTTTGCCCAGGTTTTAGGGTGGATTGAGGCTTTGATGCAGCCCCTCATCTGGTGGTGGAACGTTGAGTCTATGGCTTGGGAGGGGCTGCTCTGCACTTCCTCAACATGGGAGGTGACGAGCGTGTGGGAACCCTGGACTTGGCCCGGGACCCACCATGCAGAAGCTGAGCTGCCCAGCACCTGTCCCCAGCGTGTTCAGCCCTGGGTGCACGTTGAACTCAGAAGTAGATTTCATGCAGAGAGTGGTGCCCAGGCAGCAACTGGGACCCTTGGCACCGGTGCTTCCTTCACCACTGCCTGCCCCGGGAAAACAGCTTTGGTGCTTCTGGGCCACAGAGCCACAAAGGCAGGAAGGGCCAGCGCTTCCTGCTGTACTTTTCTTTGGCAGTCCTCATTTTATCTCATTTTATCTGGGGTGCCAGGCAGGCACTTACGGCACCCCTGAGCCGCCCCCACCCCTCCTGAGGCACAGATGCCGGGGACATCTCCCAACTGCCCCGTCACCATGCCGCCACCATGGCCCCCCAAGTTCCCTCACCTGGGGCGTAGGATGAGGCCTTTATACCTTCATGATTCATCTGCTGTTTGCAGTGATTATCGTATGCAACGAGTCACCCCCAAAATATAGCAGCTGAAGCAAAGAGCATCTGTCACTTATTTCTTTTTTTTATTATTTTAAAGAAGATAAAACAGAATAAAATCATCAAAGCAAACCAGTGTAAGAGATGCAGGCCTAAAAACATTACAAAATCAACAATAGTTACCATAATGCCTTTGATGTCTTCAAAATAGCTACAGATAACTTCAGGCATAATAAAACTCAAACAGAACAGAAACAATAAAAACAAAACAATGAATGCAGTAAAGGACTTCAAAACAAGCCAGTAATAAATCCAAAATGGCTACCATAATGTATCTTGCTATCTTTGAAACAGCTGCTCCTGCCATTGGATTTGACACAAACAAAACAAAAGAGAATAAAACCCAACCCAACAAAACAATGGAAGTGATATAAGACTTCCAAAACAAGACCATACGGAATCAACAATGGCTACAACCCTTAGATAAAAAAAATCGTCCATAGATGCCACATTGCGTACCGATATCCTCTCAATCTATGATCAGACCACTGGCCCTAGACCTGCAAGGTCAGTGAAACACCAAGGCACCAAAGGCATTTAATTGCACTTCACCTCCACAGCTGTCATCACAGCCTATGTTTCTCTGGATGAGTCAGTTGCTTATGGGGTCGGGGATGGTACTCCTTGTTTGCCAGCCTCTGTGCCAGAAGGAGCCGGGGTCTGACTGTCTAGTCCAGTCTGGGCCTGAGCATGGCGCTGGTTCCCAGGCTGGTTCTTCTCCCCGATGTGTCCTTTGTTCTCTCTACTCCCAGTCCGTGAATGGTGCTGACCCTCGGAGAGAGGCTAGGGTCAGGTTGTTCCAGTCCAGTGGGGGTCTGTACATGGCGCTGGTTCCCAAGCTGGCTCTGTTCACTGATGTAGTTCCTTATGATTTCTGTGGGTCCAGAGTCAGAGCAGTTTGGCCGGGCCATCTGGTGTCACCGTTAGGTAGCAGTGCCAGGCTGCTGGAGAGCTTCAAGGAACAGATCCACTGCTGGGCCCCCCACATGATGCCTCCTCCCCCAGTCCATAGCCCTCACAGGCCTTCGACTGGAGACTTAAGTGCCCTTGGGACCTTGCGCAAGAATGGCTCGTAGCATGTGGCTGACTTTCCTCAGTGTAAGCAAGGAAGGAAGAGGACCATAGTCTCCCCGAAGTGACCTCCCATCATCCTGTCACATTCTCCAGGCCCATCTCTTGCTCAGAAGGCAGCAGTGACCTGAGGGCAAGAGGACCTCGAGCTGGGGGCCAGGGTGGCTGTTTCAGTGGCTGCCTGTCCAGCCCATGGCAGCAGTCACTGCATGTCCTTCCAAAGAGAGGCCTGTCCTCAGCTGCACCATCCTGCAGCAAGACTCAGGCAATACAGCCTGTCATGCTTGTTGCTGGATACAGTACCTAACACAGAACTCAAAGGAGGAACAAGTCAGAGGGGTCAGGCCACAGTGGGCTGGCTCACGGTTCAGAGGGCTCAGTCCACGGTGGGCTGGCTCATGGTTCAGAGGGCTCAGTCCATGGTGGGCTGGCTCACAGTTTAGAGGGCTCAGTTCATGGTGGGCTGGTTCAGAGTTCAGAGGGCTCAGTTTATGGTGGGCTGGCTCCAAGGTGAGAACATCTTGGCAGAAGGCTTAGGGAAGCAAAGTCACCACTTTATGGTGGCCAGGAGAAGAGGGCAGGCAGGAGACAGACCCTCCAAAGGCAGCCCAGTGACCACATCTCCCCACCAGACCCCCTCAAATTCAGCTGTGACCTCATCAGATATAATCCAGTGGGCCAGGCACCTTCCAAAGCCCCACCTGTGTACATGCAAGGTGGAACATTCTAGATCTAAACCTTAACAGTGTCTACTTTTCTGACAGCTGGGATGAGGGAACTGAATGGCAACACCTTCAGCATACAAGCAAGTGGTTCCCCAGAACCCTTCCTCAGCCAGAATACCTCTGTTAATTTAAACTGTGGGCAACATGCAATATTTCCTTATCTGTTTTAGCAAGAAAACTAAATTCCATTGTGTCATATAACAGAACCGTTTTGCTTTTGATACAGAAGTTCAGTTCAAATTGTGCAATGAATGATTGTTAAAAGCTGCCTTTTAAGTGAGCAAGAGACCCTGCATGCAAATGCATTTGCAAATCCCTATTTGCCCTTTATCTTGATATGCAAACTCGATAAGGGACCTGGCAGGTGGCAGCAACAGTCAGCTTCTTTCTCAGAGTGTGAGTTTCAGTGGAGTAATACTATAAGCACTTACATGTCACCTTTAGCCCCTCTGCATTTCAACTTTTGGATATGGCTTTGATCTCCTTTTTCTATCTTTCATAGGCAAGGAGGAAGTCCCTGATTTTGTCACTTTTCTCTATCAAATAACCAGAGGAATTGCAGCGAGGAGTTACGGCCTAAACGTGGCCAAGCTAGCAGATGTTCCTGGAGAAATCCTGAAGAAAGCAGCTCTCAAGTCCAAAGAGCTGGAAGGATTAATAAACACGAAAAGGTCAGAAGTCTGTGCTGTGATGTGTGTGCGTGCATGCCTGTGTGTTGATAGTGAAACCTTCCTCCCAAATTGCTCAAGGAAGAGGTTTTCAAGTTTATTTCTGTATTTATTTTGTATTTCATTTTTGAGAAGAGTCTCAGTGCATGTTGCATGCTGGTTGTGCCTCCCAAGGGCTGGGATCACAGGCCTGCGCCGTCACGCCCGGCTTCTCCCTGTGTTTGGAAAGATTTTAGACAGCTGGGTGGACACAGGCCTTACGTGTCCATCCACCCTGTTTCTGCTGGTTGCTCGGCTCTTCATGAAGTTGCAGGATTGGTTCTCAGTGGTTTTCCTACAGAATGACATCAGCTTGGCGCCAGCATGTTTGCTGCTGCAGGCGCTCGGGTGGACGAGCTCAGGGAAGCCTCCCAGATGAGGGTCACATTATCCACGTGGCCCTTCTATTGGGAGGTGCTGGAGACAGGTTTTTCTTTCTAACCTGGCTTGTGTTGCTGAGACCCTTTCTGTGATGCCTCCATCTCAGGCCCCTGAGGTGCAGCCAGGACACAGGGTCCTCAGTGTGCACCTGAAATCTCCATGACCCGAGCTTTGGCTGGAGGCGGTGTTGGTGCCTAGCACAGCCAGACTCGGCTCCCAGATGGAACGTCACAGAGCACATGTGCCCATCCTCTTGCCCGCCCCACCCCTCACGAGGGCAGCTGCTGCCCTGGGGGGACCCACGTTATAGGCCAGATGTGAGGCCAGGGTCCCTGCGTCTCACTGCAAGGAGACTGCATCCCTCAGATCAGGAGATGAAAGACGCCATGACTCCTAGTGCTGATCCTTGCTTTGCTTTGCTTACCTCGCCTCGTCTAAAGGCTGGGTCCTGCCCTGAGACACTACTGAGGTCATTTCTGAGACAGACGACAGGCGACAAGCAGCGGGCAGAGGCACACAGGGACCATGGCCCGGTGGCCACGCTTTTCCTGGGTGAGGCCCAGGCTCCGCCCCGTACCTCAGAGAGATTCCAGAGGGAAGGTTGTCTGTGTGTTCAGAAACAGCCCAGCACCCCATCCTCTGCCACATCCAGAGGCAGACAGGTCTCCTCCTGTCCCCGCTCCCTGAGGAAGGGGACCGAGCAGCGCGACCGTGCTGTGTGGGCTGCGGTAAAGTGAGACTGACTGTGCCCTCTGCCTCTGCTTCTTGGCAGCCTGTGACACAAAAGCCAGAAAACCCCAGCTGCTTCTGCTTCCGTCTCCCAGTGAACAAGTGACCTTTGGGGATCTAGACAGTTGTCCAGGCAGGACAAGAGGGTCGCTGGAGGAGGCTGAACAGGGGCAGAATCTGATCCTTTATCCGTCGGGGCTTTTATCTTCCCACTAACATGCTTAGCACGTCATTTTCTTTGGTTACATTAAGGAAGTCAAAACAGTCCTTGCCATTTTGTGGGTTTTTTATGAAGCTTTTGTGAAGACAGGGTCATGCTATGTAGCACAGGATGGCCTCAAACTCACAGTGATCTTTCTGCCTCTGTCTCCCAAGTGCAAGGATGGCAGCACTGCCACCTCGCTGTCAAAGGGTTACCACACATCGAGCGTTTACTGCCAAACGTGGGTGTCACAGCGGCAGCCTGGATGGGGCGCTGGGCACCACTTTTCCTGCTGGGAGTTCATGGAGTCACCTGACCCTTGACACACCTGGAGCCAGGTGCCTCTGTCCCCACGTCTTTGGGGATAGTGAGGTTGGAAGCCAGTGCTCACTCTGCCAGTCAGAGCCCCACTCCAACTGTGGCCCCCAACTCCACAATGAGCTGCTCAGGGTCAGCCACGGGCCTGCCTCCCTGGGAATCCTGGGGACTTCTCCCTGCTAGCTCAAACATGCAGAGGAGCCGGCAGCACTGGTCCTCTGGGGGCACCAGTCTCCTCTGCACCTCCTCCCTTGGCCCTGCAGTGGCTTGGGAGGGCCGGACCCCAGAGCCTGGCCATGGAACCTGGTGCCCTGATGACATTCACTTGCGTAGCTGCTGTTGAGACGCATCATTCCCAGCTGTGTGTTTTCTGAAGCAAGCAGTATCTTATTTTCTCTCCAGGAAAAGGCTGAAGTCTTTTGTGAAACTCTGGACGGTGCACGATGCAACAGACCTGCGGGCATGGATGGATGAGGCGGCCGTAGGAGCTGGGGAGACACAGGCCTCTCTTCCCCACTGATGTGGACTGTGGAAGAGGCACCGGCCTGGCGGGTCCTCCGGGAAGCGGCACTGGGGTTTCCTCTGTGACGGAAGCCCCTGGACAGCGGTCTCCCAAGTGGAACCCTTACGGTGGAGCCAGAAGTGGTGGCTGCAGTGCTGCACCCTTGACAGTGACACAGAGTATAGTTTCTGTTCTCTTGGCACTAAGAGAATCTTCAAAGCCAGCAGCTTCCTCATCATGCGTGTAAGAGGTTTTAACAGAAACAGAATTATGAAGCCTTTAGGGACCAGAGCCCTGCCTGGGAGGAGCGAGATCCTATGAAATGTGCAGAGATAAGCGTCAGTGTGGTTTTAAGCAGTTCAGATGCTGTGGAGAGGAATGACTCTGGCCTTCCTTGACGTAATAAATATTTAATGTGCACTTGCTCTTGTTGCGCTGGGTCCTGTGGGACCCCGGTGTGTTCAGAGACTGGCTGTCATGTTTGAGGCTGAACTGAGGGGCTGAGGTTGCCGCCCCTGTGCACTCTGCCCACACTGTCCCCATACCTGCAGGCTGAGGCAACAACTCATGCTGAGCCATGTCCCTGTGGTTTTCCCAGCACCTGGGCTGCCGGCCTCCCAAACGGCCACTGCTCGACTGTCCATTCTCTGGTGTAGACACCTCCCACTGTCCCTGTCCATCCCTCCTGCTCCATTAGATTTCCCCCAACTAGGGGTTGGGGATTTAGCTCAGGGCATAAGCGCCTGCCTTGCAAGCATGCAGTTGTGATTTTGATCCCTGGTACCAAACAAAAAAAGCAATGAGATTTCCCCCCACGTGTGACACGTGGCCTGCAGCTTCTTCTCCATTGTTAGGTACAGTGGCCCCGTGAAGACCCCAGGGTAGGACCCAGCATGCTGTCCCGTGTGGACAAGTATCACCTGCGCCCTAACCCTGCCCCCAGCCTCAGCCCAGGGAGAGGTGGACCAGAGTGCCACATGCAATGCAGACAGGCAGTCACCACGGCCCAGTGCACACTCAAGGCCACCTCTGCCTCACTGGGCCCCAACTGAGATCTGGGAACTGTGTCCCTGAAGGGTGCCGACTGCTCCAGGGCCAGCCTGCGGGGTAGGGAGGAGGCCAGCACCTCTGAGAGCCTCAAGGTCCTGGGTTGCCAGCAGAGGAGGCTGCAGTTCCAAGGTTGAGTATGACACGGGAGGCACTGAGCTGTCTCCAGGGTCCTCGTCTCCACCGGTCCTGGGACCTGAGACAGTGTCTGCAGGGACAGGGCTGACGGAGGCCAGTGTGCTGGACAGTGACCAGGAACCATGTGGTGACAGCAGCTGTTGCCAGCATTCACAGCAAACAGCTTGGAATGCAAGTGGCTGCCGGCAGCCCTGGGCTCCTGAACGTGATGTTGGCTGTGAGACCCCAGCCTCAGCTTGGAGCCCAGGCCAGAGCACGGAGCTGAACACGGCCTGGCACATGTGGGCCCTGGGGTGCAGAAGGAGCAGTACAGCCGCTCCTGCTGTCCCTCCTGGCCGTGTGCCTGCGCTCCTGTTCCTCAGCTGGTCTCTGTAAGTAATTACTGTGGTAAAGCGAGAATGTGGGAAAACCTCAGGACTGTGCGTTAGCATTTTAAAACAAAAAAATGTAGGGTTTTGTTTTTAGTTAACAAAAAAAGTAAAAACCTCAGTATGTGCATTTATGATGATCAAAATCTCGTGATTCCCAGGCAGCCCCGAGCCCAGCACTCCAGAACTCTGCAGATGGGGCTCCGCAGCCCCTCCTTGATGTGGGCTCGGGTCTGCTCCAGCTTGAACTCTCCCAGGTCTAGAGCGGGGCCTCCGAGTCCAGCCTCATTCACAGTGGGGTGGTCACACTGTAGCAGAAAATGTCCCATCCCCAGCCAGTGCATGTCAGTTTCTTAGCCGCCCAGGTTCCTGTTCCAGATCCGGCTGCTCTGTCTCCTAGAAGCAGCTGGTAACTGTGACACAGCTGCCACTGAGATGCGCATTGTGTAAACCGATCCCCCGCTGACAAGCCATTCTGCCTCTGCACTGCTGCTTGCTTCTTTGTGAGCCCTCAGCCACCAGAGATCAGGGCCTGGAATTTTGAGGAGCAGTTGATTCCCTGACAGTGCCCACCCATGGTGAGCAAATCTGCCTCCAGGTCCTGGCGTCTTTTCGGTATTTTACATTTGCTGCCGTAGTGTCAGTGTGCATTCCCCAAATAAAAGCTTGCAAGTCGTGCTGGTGCACGTCCGATGTCTCCTTTCTCAGCCATGGTGAGTAATCAAGGGGCATTCCTAGACAAGTTTTTATGTAACAGCAGAGTCTGTTGTTCAAAGCTTGTAGTAATTCCAAAGAAAAGTCAGGTTTGCGAACTGCTGGTCTCTGATGATAGGGACCAAAGGGTAGCTTTGGTTGGGCTGGTAATTAATATTATTTAACACAAGAAGTTAAAACAATGGTTCTGCTCATAACCAAGATACCAGTTTACTATGGTTTCACAAACCATGCAGAAGTGTCCAGTATCTTTTAAAAAAACGATGTTTTTGCCTTTCTGACAAATTGTCAAAGTCTGAGCTAGTCGCCCTCGAAGAGGTGGAAGTGGAGCTCGCCACATGGATCCTGGGAGGACCCAGACCAACGGTGGGCTGCTGCATAAACACACGAGGCCTTCAGTAGGCTCCTAGGGCAGCGTTCAGCATGAACACTGAGGGTGAGAGGCAGGATCATCTGTTCATGCCTCCGGCCTGATCAAGGTTGGCTCCTCCATGGGACGGCGCAGTCTGTGCGCGGGGCAGGCCTCATTGACACGTGAGGCCAGAGCAGTGTTAGGCGAGGCTGCTCTGGTCAGCCTGCTGCAGTGGCAGTGAGCCTATGGCACATGTGCCGCACTCGGGTGTTAGCAGCATTGACAGCTCTGAGAGCTTTGCTGTCACCGGTATGTAACTGTGCACACAAACACACTGATCGAATGGCATGTTTGTAAAGTTTTAGCATACTGAGGGTTTAAGGTAGTTTTTTCAGAGAACAGGAAGACACTAGAGGGCCACTGGAAAAGAAATTGGCAACACAGGCTCAACCCAGCTCTGAGGAGCAGGGCTGTGGTGCCCCCCTCTCTGTTGCTGTGACTTCGTCAGCACAGGCATCCCTTACTGTCCACTCTGCCTTCCGACTGGCAGCTCTTTCACCATGAGAGGCCCCACTTCTCTGTTTATATTCTTGCTTTTTTCATACTGTGTAGTTCAGGCTGGCCTTGAACTCATGGAGATCCTCCCACCTCAGCCTCCTCAGGGCTGTGGTTACAGGTGTGCGGCCCCACGCCCAGCTGGCAGCCTTGCTGCTTCTGCACTGTCAGCTTTCTCTTCCTCCCCAGGATGGCCACGTGCTCCCTGTGCCTTCCACATACTGCCTTCTCCCTGGCCCTGTCTGCACTAGACCCCGTACCCATGTCTGCCTCCTCTGCCCGTCCTCTTTTAGAGGCGAACTTGGGAGCTAGGGCTGTAGCTCAGTGCTGGAGTGTTGCTCAGCACTCCCAGTGCCTGGGTTCCATCCCCAGCACCAGGAGGAGGAGGGAGGGAAAGAGGAAACAAGGCTGATAGTTGGTGTAATCATATTGCTCCTGGTGGTTTTGTCCTGGGCCAGTTGGGTGGCAGCAGCCTGTCCACTGGAAGCCAGCAAGTATTCAGGCATCACCTGCAGGCAGGCAGGGGTACGTGGGCAGCAGGACACCGAATGGCCTGACTTCCTGAGGGCACATGAGTTTGCGGCAGGAGCACTGGGGACTCCTCAGTGGACTGACGAGGCCCACAGCCACCTGAGCCAGCTCGCTGCACTGTCTGCCTGCGAGGGGAGCTTGTCACTAGAGTAAGGTGCAGACTTCAGTCAGTTCCACACTGCAGTTCACCCCCTCAGGGCACCTGGAAGCCAGCTCTGAGTGGGGTACGTGGGGTGAGCAGAGGGGATGCCCTCTCTCCTGCCTCCCCATTCAACTTGGAGCCTCGGCGTGAACTGCGATGCCTGGGTCTCTTGAGCAGGGCACATTGGTGTCGAGGGCCAGAAGACTGCAGCCCTCGACTGGATCCTGACCCTACTGAGTCACACTGCCTGGACTCCTTCAGGAGCTCTCCTGTCCTCCTCGTCCAAAACTCACATCTGGTTTTCCGTTCCTCGCTGCCCAGAGTGCCCTGCCTGATGAGCCCACATGGCCAGAGCCCTATTCCCTGGTCCTGCTTCACCAGGGCTCCTTTGCAGGATTAGCTCCACCTTGCATGTTCCTTTTGCAACCACAGGGACAGTCTGAGGCCTGTGAAGCACGGGGTCACAACCTGGAGCTCTTGAGCAGCTGAGCCCCTGGGGGCATCTCTGGGGGCCAGGTTTCCAGGATGCGTGTGTGTCCTCTAAGGTGACTCGGCCCCGAGAAGGAGATGTTGGTACCAGGGCAGTGCTGCCACACAAGAGTCCCAGGGACACCCCGCCCATGGTCTGCAAACTTCTGTGTCCTTTTTCCAGCACAGGAGTGTTCCTGCCCCCGAGACTGAGCACAGGGACCCCAGGGTGGGTCACCAAGGCAGGCCAGTCATGCTGGTCTGTGGCAGGTGAAAGCTCAGGCAGTTACAGCCTTGCAACATAGTCTCCGCTCTGGCATTCTGTAAGCCATGGTTTCCAGGTGTTTTTTGTTCTTTTTCCAGTGTTTGTCCACCCTGGGTCTGTCTGACTGTCTCTGTCTCTATCTGTCCCTCTCACCTTTGGTACTGGGATAGAACCCAGGGCTTTCACATGCTAGGTGAGTGCTCTAACACTGAACTACATCCCCAGCCTTTTTTTGAGACAAATCCTTCTAAATTGGTAAATTTTCCTGTCTATCCTTAAGTTTGCAGTCTTCCTGCTTCAGCCTCCCCAGTAGCTGGGACTACAGGCACACACTGCAATTTACTTTCTCTTTCTTTTCTAGTTATCTATTTCACAAATCATGTTTGGCTGCTTTTCATCTTTTTCTGAAGTTTGTTTTTGGGTTCCAGAAGAAGTGTCAGAGGTGGGATTGTTCTTTAACTTATGGTTGCTGGGCACAGAGGAAATGTCTCAGTCCTCATAGCACGATTCTGTCTGAGCTTGTGTCTCTTTGGTTTTTGTCCTGAGCACCCCTGTGACGCTCCACCCCTTTTTATGGTCCCAGTTCTCACACCCTGCTTTTCACTGTTAATGAGAGAAAAGTGCACAGAGCTTGTCTGGTTATCAATTACCAAAATTAAGTCTTCAGAGCTGCTTCAAAAAATTCTAAGAGCAGGGAAGCTGCTGTAAATGAATACCATTCCCCCAGCCTACCCAGACTGAACGTAGCTGGGTAACACCCTGCTTCAAGTTCACATGGATTTTAATTTGCTTGGCAGAAGCCAGGGAGGGAAGGGAGGAGAATTCGCCTCTGTGGGCTTT